TTTTTGTTGTTGTATTCATGAATACATAGTGCGAATGCATGTGAATACATGCACGTACAGCCGGACTGCCCTGATTTTAGGCACTTTTTGGTGTTGTATTCATGAATACAACAGCACGAGTACAGCGAATACACTACCTTAACAACTTAATAGTAGCTATAGGAAATAATTATGTATATGGTAGCTATAGAAAGTTAATAGCCACTAAACAATAGTGGTTTCTGAAGATTTTTCATAAGGGGAATTTTACCTCTTATAGCAAAGGTTTACACCCTATTTATTATAAATCAAAACCCGTTTAAAAAATTATTTTCTATAGCTATTTTTTATTTTTTATAGCAAAATAGGTATTTATGGTATACACTACCATTAAGGCATTAAATACGCTATGTACCATTTTTCTCTCTCATTCTTTCAGTTATTCTCTCCCAAAATTAATGGGTTGATAATGAGGCATGTTAGAGTTGATTTTGTTGAGCTATATTAGGAGTGTATCATGCTAATTGATATTATTCCCGTTATTAGACAGCTGAACATACTTATTTTTAAGGTAATTGATGTTACTGTATTCATGAATACATGGCTCGAATACATGCGCGTACAGCTGGACTGCCCTGATTTTAGGCCTTTTTTGCTGTTGTATGCATGAATACAGCAGATACATGCGCGTACACCTAGACTGCCCTGATTTTAGGCGATTTTTGCTGTTGTATTTATGAATACATGGCGCGAATGCATGTGAATACATGCACGTACAGCCGAACTGCCCTGATTGTTAGACACTTTTTAATGTTCTATTCATGAATACAGCAGCGCGAATACAGCGAATACACTACCTTAACAACTTAATAGTAGCTATAGGAAGTAATTATGTATATGGTAGGTATAGGAAGTTAATAGCCACTAAACAATAGTGGTTTCTGAAGATTTCTCATAAGGGAAATTTTACCTCTTATAGCAAAGGTTTACACCCTGTTTATTATAAATCAAAACCCTTTAAAATATTATTTTTTATAGTTATCTTTTATTTTTTATAGCAAAATATGTATTTATGGTATACACTACCATTAAAGCATTAAATACGCTATGTACCATTTTTCTCTCTCATTCTTTCAGTTATTCTCTCCCAAAATTAATGGGTTGATAATGAGTCATGTTAGAATTGATTTTATTGAGCTATATTATGAGTGTATCATGCTAATTGATATTATTTCCGTTATTAGACAGCTGAACATACCTATTTTTAAGGTAATTGGTGTTACTGTATTCATGAATACATGGCTCGAATACATGCGCGTACAACTGGACTGCCCTGATTTTAGGCCGTTTCTTGCTGCTGTATTCATGAATACAACAACGCGAATATATGCGCGTACACCTAGACTGCCCTGATTTTAAGGGATTTTTGTTGTTGTATTCATGAATACATGGCGCGAATGCATGTGAATACATGCACGTACAGCCGGACTGTCTTGATGTTTAGCTACTTTTTGATGTTGTATTCATGAATACAGCAGCGCGAATACACTACCTTAACAACTTAATAGTAGCTATAGGAAGTAATTATGTATATGGTAGCTATAGGAAGTTAATAGCCACTAAACAATAGTGGTTTCTGAAAATTTCTCTAAGGGAGAATGCAGATAACACAAATTCATACCAATTGGGTTGGAGTTGCAAGCAATTTAACAAGTACAAAGTCATAGAGTTTGTGAGTTATCCAACAGAATAGCTAAATTGGATATAGCATGAAGTTCTACTAATTTATTATGAGTCATGACTTACAAACAGTTCTTAAAACTATTTTTATTTCTTTTCTTTGTTTTTCCATTTCTTAAACAATTAATTAACTATATAATTTTGCATATTTTTCCCTTTTTCGTACTCATGGACTGGATTAGGAACTTCACTTCAGGTGGGGTGATACTAGATTCCTTTCTTTCTAATTTCTATTGATTGTTTTGTTAAGCCCCCTGTAGTATATTAACGATATTAATTGCTCAAGATACTCTTGGGAAAGTTAAAGCATCCTTTATACGAATAAGAAGGGAGGCCTTCAATTCCAACGGTACCGAATTGATAAGCTTCACCGAGCAATTCATTAAACTTAAAGGCCATTTTGGTACAAATATCAAAATTGGGACAATATTTAAATACTTTTATAAATGAAAACACCAAATATTATTTTCAACTTAATTATATTACAAATATAATATCAGATTTTTTATGTCCAAACGATTAAAAAAATACTAAGTAGCTAAAAACATAAGTTGTAGCGGTTTTCATCTTTTTTGTGTTTTTCAAGTTCTTTGTTTTGTGTATCAAGTTAATATGTTTTTTGAAATCACATTTGCAATTGAGAAGTATTGGAATTGATGGGAGATTTTCTGGGAGCTTTTTTGCGGGAGTTTTTCGTTATTTTTGCCCGTCGAAGTGACGTGGCTGATTCAGAATCATGTTTTTTTTTTCTTTGTTCTAGATCATCGGTGTAGTTTTAGTCTCTAACTTCTTGTTAGTGTCAGTTTATGATTTTAGCAACAACAATTTCTCGACACTGAAATACATCCACGCCGAGCAGTCATTGAAGGCCCTCAATCTCAAATATGAGCATAAACCAAGTGTTTAATGGAGTTAGAGTTTCATCTTCCAACAATAATTTCTCGACATTGCTAAACTATACAGATAAATGTTTTACCGCATTTTATTCAAAATTTATTTGAACTAATACAATGGAGTATGCATATATTTTTATTTGAACTAGTTTATAACAATGGTATTCGAACCATGCATCTTACACACTTCTCTACCATTGACAAAGACTTGTGTAATGTTTCAAGAAGTATTCAATATTATGTTTTTTAAAATTCTCATCCTAGTAATCAAAAACTTTTAATAGTAAATAGAATGTTAAAAATGATTTCGTACATTTTGAATAGCATATTGTGAAATAGGAAAATGGCTTGGTTCATGTTTTTTCCAAGCTCTCATCTGGTGATCTACATTTTTAACCACTAAGTAGATTGTCAATAACTTCATACTTTGAATAGTTCAAATTTATCTTATAAAAACAACAACTACTATTACTATTGTGCTCAATCCCAAAAAAATTAGGGTCGGCTCCTAACAAGTGTAATATCACATGTTAAACTACTCTGATATACAGATATATCGATAGTACTATAACATATCACAAAAAGATGGCCGGCATATGACTAACAGTGACTTACTGCTAGTATCACATGTTAATCTTTGGCTTGCATTCATCTCCTTAAATCCAAAGATAATTTGGTTCGCCGGCACCACAAAAGTCCGCCAAATGTTCCACAAATATTGAGTACTTAGGTTTGATTTTGCCGTAGGCTTTAGTCTTCATTAATATAGTAAACTCAGTGTAGCAATAGGTGATGGTGATAATGACATGAGCTATATATATTAAGTAGGATTTAGAGCTTAAGGTCAGGGTTATGTTCCTGCAGAATACAATTTACAAAAGTTAATTCTTTGAATCAGTCATGTTTTAGGAGCGGGGTATGCCGGGAGGTTAAAAAAGACAATGTAAATTTTTCTCTTTTCTTATACTCAGATCTTATTTTTATGTGATGGCGTGTGGTTAGGCAAACACTTAATTTGCTAATTTGACTTAGATATTATATAGTGGTAGTAAACGAACATATGAAAATAATGACTGAACATTAATCTGATAGAGAACTGAAATTTTAAAAGGTGAAGAGCTATTGAAAGTTGTATAGACTAGTGTTATTAGTGTAATTGGTGTCAGAAACTTTGAGACTTTCAAACAAAAAAAGTGTCATGTACAAAGATGGATATGAATTTAGGGGTCGTTTGGTAGGGTGTACAAGAATAGTGTGGAATAAGGTGTATTAGTAATGCATGGATTAGTAATACAAGCATTAGTTATGCAGATATTATTTCTTATCTATTGTTTGGTGTGGTGTATTAAAATTATAATGCATTGCATAATTTTTAATAAAAATAGTTAGTTTACAAAAATGCCCTCCATATTCTCAAGCTTTAAGGGACTTTAAGGATAATTTTATCTTTAACCAACCTAATGCATGCATTAGTAGCCTTGATATTACTAATGCCATGGTTTTCTATGCATTACTTATACATAGGATAATACCAAGTATGATGTATAACTAATACAAGGTTGAAAAAATATACTAAACAAGGTATTAGTAATGAATAGAGCTAATGCTTGCATTATTTTTTCTAATACCTCCTACCAAACCATCCTTAGAGTTAATGAGTTCGGTTTATGGAGTAGGTGTGATCTGTTTTTTATGCGCCATTTGTAAATTTTTTCATAGATATACATGAACAGAGAAAAAGCAATTGGTTCAGTCAAATCCTCGTAAATTAAAGACAAAATCGCTTCTGGTCGTATACATTGTAATGAAATGAGTATTTATTTGATTATTTTAGATACAACAACAACATACCCTTTCCGGAAGAACCTTGGCTCAGGAATATATGATTCTTTCAGATAATTTTTCATTTTCATGAAATGTTCTATCCAATTCTAAATGAATTGTCCTCCTCACTTGGAAACTCCACCTCCACTTACATTGGTTTAAACAGCTTACAATAAAACTTGTAATTTAGCCTTAAAAAGCAAAAACAAAATATAGAAGCCCTAACATTACTTCTTGACTCTCATATATTTCCATTTATGCATTGTAAAAATCGGCAAGTGTGCATTGTAAGCAGTAGAATATTAAAAACCATAAATTCCAACTGATGCAGTATCCTGAAACAGACATTGTAAAATACAATATGATACAATACTATGTTTCAATATATGGCAGTTTACTATTTGAAAAGATAATCAAAATATAACTAAAAAGCATTATGTTACTATGTATTATACGTCAAAGACAAAGCAACAAATAAGCAATGACAAAGAAGTGTTCTCTTAGAATAGCATAATTTTCTTGATCTGATATGTTTTCATTTCATTTCATTTCACTCCAAAACTTATGGCTTCTTGGGGTTACATCCTTATTCTTTATTTCTTGTTTCCTCTGATTTCCCCTAAAATTACAAGAAATTTGGCTTCTGGTGCACCTACACAGTTAACTAATATCTACCCTTTTCCATGCTCGGATCACATCAAGACGTGCAGCGCTTTCCTCTATCAGCATAATGGCCTATCAAAACAGAATATAACCAAACTTTACTCTGTCAATGCATCAGCAATTAAGCCGATTAGCTACGATGACAGACAAGACTACCTAGTAACTGTACCTTGTACTTGTAAAAATGTTAATGAAACTGTTGGATATTTCTATGACACAAGTTACAAACTACAGCTATTGGATACATTTGCAAATGTTTCTAATAACATATATAGTGGCCAGGCTTGGAAAGTTGGAGGAGAAGAAGAAAGTTACAAAGCTGAGGATGTAGTAACTATGCATCTCTTGTGTGGATGTGTAGAAGATGGCCAAAAAACTGTAGTGACATATACTGTTCAGCAGCGCGATACGCTATCAAGTATTGGAGATTCACTTTCTTCTCAAGTTAGTGATATAGAGAAGTTGAATCCTTCCTTGACAAGTCCACAGTTTGTAGATATTGGATGGCTTTTATATGTGCCCATGTATAAAAATGGAGTTCCTCTACCAAATACCGGTTAGTTATACAGTCAAATCTCTCTATAATAGCTTCGTTTGTTCCAGATTTTTTTGGTCGTTATAGCGAAGTGCTATTACAGGGAATATATATTATAACATAGCATGAAAATTGGTTCCAAAAGGAATTGACTTTTATAGTGAAGGGTTGTTATATATCGATGTTGTTATAGAGAAGTCTGTCTATATCTACAATTATTACATAGAAATTTACTTTCCACTGCCTCATTTTCCCCATCATTCAGCAGGAAAGAAGCACGAGGCGCACAAATGGACGATATTAGTTGGAATATTATCAGCTGTGACAGTACTGTCAATGTGTACAGTGATGATATTTATTATCAGGAGAAATAGATTGCAGAAACGCGCCAAGGAAGATCGTGCAGCTATTTCCAAAAGCTTAAGTACTAACAAAACCATGTCTTTGCAGAGGCAGTACATGTATAAAGATCAAACTGAAGGTTTAATTACTGTTTGTCAATTTATTATGATAACAGGAGAAGATTGAATTATAGAAAAATTAACAAAATCAATTGATTCCAACTCTGACAGACATCCCAGTTTTTGAATCAGAAAGGCCAGTAATATACAGTCTTGAAGAAATTGCAGAAGCTACGTGTGATTTTGACGAGTCTAGAATAATTGGACAAGGTGGATATGGGAGTGTATATTATGGGACAATTGGGAAGCAGGTATATATATAGCAATTCCTTTTGTTTTCATTTCTTCATTTTTGCCCATCAGATGCAATTAAAAGGCAATTACCACACTGATATTAGGAAGTTGCAATAAAGAAGATGAGGTCTAACAAGTCCAAGGAGTTTATTGCAGAGCTCAAAGTCTTATGCAAGATCCACCACATAAATGTGGTAAGTAAGTCAAATTGTTAGGTACTTACTTTTAGCATAACTCGTAAAGTTGCTGCCATGTGACTAAGAGGTCACGGGTTCAAGCCGTGGAAATAGCCTCTTGCAGAAATGCAGGATGAGGCTGCGTACAATTGACCCTTGTGGTCCGGCCCTTCCCCGGACCTCGCGCATAGCGGGAGCTTAGTGCACCGGGCTGCCTTTTTTACTTTTGATGAAGATCCAGAATTTATGAAGAGTTTCATCCTGTAGGTGGAGCTGTTGGGTTATGCCAGTGGGGATGATCACCTCTACTTGGTCTATGAGTACATCCCAAATGGTTCTCTCAATGAACATCTTCATCAACCAGTGCTAAAAGGTACTCTTTATAACATGTAAATTCAAACTTTGACCTCATTTTGCTACAGGATTTAATGTGACATGTAGTATAACTGAAGTTCACAAACTGTATAAGTTATAACCCTGCAAAGCACATCGAAAACTAAGATTTCGAAAAGCAAAAAAAGAAAAATTATGCAGAATAATTAGGTAGCTTACATCAACTTGTTGTGAACCAGGTAATAAACCTCTAAGTTGGACTACAAGAACACAGATTGCTTTAGATACTGCAAGGGGTATTGAGTATATCCATGACCATACAAAATCTCGGTATGTTCATCGTGATATAAAAACGAGCAACATTCTACTGGACGAAGCCATGAGAGCAAAGGTGCCTTCTTTCGACTCTTCCTTCAAGTACACCGATATAACATTTAGAACTTGTTGAGGTTTTTGTTAGGAAAAAATAAAAATTTTGAGTAAATTTTAAGTTTTTCCCTCTTGACAATGAGACATTGTCCCATATTGGAAGAGGAAAAGATTTTTGGTGGGTATATATATAATTGTTCTTCTTGTAGCTCTTAAAGAGTTAAGAAGAAAGCAAGCCTCGCGCCGTCGTCGTCGCTCTGCTCCGGCTCCGGCTCGGCTTCGGCTTCGGCTTCGGTCAAATGATTGATTAATTAATTTTTTGGACCAAATTTATTTGTTAATAGTCGTTCATGCATCTTCAAAGTTGACTGCTATAAATATGTGCAGCAGCTGTTGAAGAAAGATACACAAAACTGAAAACTACATTCCACTCCTTCCTCTCAGCATTTCCATACGATTTTCTGAGTTTCTACTCCTTTGTTCT